GACATGGAACCTTGTAAGGCCTCATCCAGTAAGAAACCCTAGCTGTGTGGAATATTTCACAGGGAAGTTTCAAGCTGTGGATGAAATAAATAGGACCTGCCAAATCACATGAGTTCACTGCATGAGTCGCTAGCTACACGGAGAGTAAATGCTCTTGCGACAGAGCAATTCTCTGCTCTGTGATGTTTGCAATTAGTCCCTGGATTAAGAGACCAGCAGGAAAACAACAGGGTTGAGAAATACTCAGGGGCCTACTCAGGGGCCAGAACCTGCAAAGGGGAAACAAAGGGAGAGGGGTCTCCGACCATGCCCTTTTCCCACGTTCCCTGCCCAAGTTGTCATCTTCTTTCCTTTCACCTAACCGCACCCCGTGAGCTAGGTTATAATGGCGATGGTGCCCATTTCACCCATCAGAGCACCAAGGACAGAGAAGGGAAATAGCCCTTGTGGAAGAGGTGCTGCTAAGGTAGGATGAGTTGGACTCCAGAACCCTGAGCTCTGTGCCAGGGACGAGACAAGGGTCATCACGACTTCTTGACCAAAATAAATAAATAAATCCTTCCAGAGGAGCACGTACATCATAGTCTATGTTCCCTGATCACTCAGATCATTGTAATAATCTAAGCAGCATTCTGCCTCCATTAAATAAGAGGCTCCATCCTTCCCTGTCAGTCATGCTTAGTTCCACTAGAAAAATATAAGAGGCCAGGGAGTTTTAAAGTTGGTAAGTAGGGGTAATTTGTGGGCATTTGTCAACTTGCTTTGATTTTCCCAATGTAAAGAGTGAAGAGATTATTAAATACCCTTCCATGCAAGAAACATCATAAAGTAGCACTCCGGCTTCTTCAAGAGTTAGAACAACCTTCACTGGCAGGTAGCACAGAACGCAGTACAAAGAAAGTAAAATAAATACAGCACCTTTATGTGGTGTGTCCTACAGAATCGAGATGAATTTTCACAGAAGAAAAATAAGATAAATAACATGCACAATGATAGTTTGGCCTTTAAATGGATTATTGTGGGCTGCGTGGTGCTGGCCTCTCTAGAGTGGTGGCCATGGCCTTGGACCTCACTGCCTCCACGTGTGGGACATTGTGTGGAGGGACTGGGGCTCTGGGAAGGTGTTTGAAAGAGAAAAGAGCTGGCAGATGCTCAGAAACCAGTGGTTTTTAAACCTGCACAGAACACACTTTCTTATTCTGCAGATATAAGAGAGAGGATTTTATTTTAAAGAAAGATTTATGGTTTGAATTAAAACAGCACTATTGTGACAAAGTTCGCTTTCAGTTGAAGTGATGTATTTGCTGAAAATTATATTGATGCCTTCAGTGGGATCTCAGAGTGGGCTAGAACTTACTTCTATGTTTTGAAAATAAGTCTATAAGTGGCAAGAGAGCTGAAGTTCTTTGGAGTGATATTGACTTAAATATCACTTTCCATCAGCCTAGGAGTTGTGATGATATAGGTTTGGTTCCCTGGATGAATACTGAAGGTTGTTTTTTAGTATAGCAGTAGAGTTTTGGATGCTTCTAGAGTTTCATGGGGGAGAAAAGTGGTATTTTGTCATATTTGGACTATAACCTTGAAGTGCTTAAAAATGTGCTGGGAAATTTGGACCAAATTTTCTAAAACGGTGTCTATTTCTCTCTCATAAATCCACCTTTGAACAGGCAAAGTGAAATGTCACATTGGGTAGATCAGGGATTATTCATTTGGAAAGTTTATGAGATGATATGGTCCAGGCAATGAATAGGATTAAGTGTTCAATGACACCCAGAGAAACATCAAAGAGAGTCAGGCCATAGATCTCAGAATACTAAAAAGATCTTCAACCCTATCGGTTTCCTTCAGGCTCTAAAATGCATGGATTGCATGACCTGACAAATATTAATAATGGCATCTAAGATCATTTCTGCCTGAATTCTCATGTCCTGGGAATTGGGTTGGGAATGGATAGAGAGAGGTATGCAAGGCCTTGCTGGAAATGCTTAAACATAAAAGTGCCCAGAAATTTCAGTATATTTAGGATAATACTTTGCTCATTAGGAAATTAATGAAGTGGGGACAATTATGTCCTCACGTCCTTAAGGATTCTTTAGAGAATACAAGGCTAAATAATGGCTATTTTGAGTTGCAAAGATAGAAGCTAGGAATTGCTATGTTTGAACATTTAACCTATAAATTCTAAAAAAACTAAAAGAAACCAAAAGCAAATTGGTTGTGAATTCATTGAAGATACAAACACTATTTTCAAAATGGTTTATGAAGCACTCAGATTAAGGACATCAAGAGCCAAGTAGATTATGGTATTCTGAGGGATTTTTGCTTCCTTTTCTACTTGTCTGTTATTTAATTTGGGTCGGTATATTTTACTATTTCTAATATTATTGGATTTTTTTCCTCAACTTTTCATAAATTTTTTTTTTTTAAAGATTTTTATTGGGGAATTGGGGGATGGGAACAGCGCTGGGGAACTGGGGGAAGGGGAACAGATAACTTGCTGTCCTTTTGTTCTTCAGTCTAGTTGTGGAGGTCGTTGCTTCACTGGCCCAAGTTGGCACCATCGTTGCGCTCTTCCGGGGCGAGGCAGATCAGTCGCCGGCTTTTGGTCGGCCGCTCACGCTGGCTGCTGGCTACACACGGTAGCCCATGGCAACCCACTGCCACAGGGGCTGCAGCCTATGCCGTCACCGGTGACTCAGAGCAGCCCAGCTCCAGGTTGAGCTGTTGTTCAGCATCTTAGCTGTAGAGGGCAGTGTCACTGGCCCTCATATGTGGGATCCGAACCGGGGCCCTCTGGCATCCCAAGGCAGCTCTTAACCAATGTGCCACTCGGCCAGCCCTTTCATAACTTTTTAATGAAACTAATCCATCAGGCTGTAATTCAATTTGGAAAATAAATACACAATAAAATATTTTGGAAACATTTTAACAACAAGATTTGTGGGGGGCAGGGGAGAGAGTAGTAATAAACCAAGGAAATAAATTACATATTGCTGATCATAAAATATCCTTTCATAGTTTACTATGTATCTTTTTATATTTAAAATTTGAGTTTTCTTTGTTTTCAAGAACGAATTGACAATGGATATTTCTTTTAAATCTTTCCATATGTATTTCTGCCTCATAATTAAATCAACTGTTTATGTTATGTTCCACTACATAAATCAGATTTTGTTCCTATCAAGCAATAATTGGGAAGAAAAATGCAGGCCAAATAATTGTTAGCAAAATAAAACCTGGTGAATGTGGAGTTGTTCAGATAATCCCAGGGAACTGGGAGCCTGTGCTTTGGCCACAGGGACATCAGAATTAAGTGGAGCAAGTCAGGCCTCTAATATTTTCAAATGCTTTGCCTGTCTCTAACTCTGCATAACTTCTGGATTCTATCGACAACCAGCTTGTCTTCTCCTCCATACAATCATTCTCTGCAGCTTTGTGGTGCTCAACGGAAAATAAAACCCTGATAATTATGACCAGAAGGCAGGAGTAGAAACTTTTAAGTTCTTAGGCTTTAAAAGGAGTGTTATATTTACTTTTATTTTCATAAACCCTAGGCTGTGGTCTAGGGCGATGCTCAGCCTGGAATGGCTGTTACAGAGCTGCTGCAAACGCTGGCTGGGCCCCTCCTTCAGTGGGAACTTAAAGAACAGTGAGCTGTTCCTAGATGGTTTGTTCTCATGAATTATTCTTTTCTAGCTGCTCAGCCTGTAGTAGAAACAACTTTACAAAACGCCTGAGAATTACGCATGTGATAACCAGGAGTGGTTAAAAATCAACTCATTCCTCTAAACTGTTGGCTGAATTAGGTTATTTTACTGGGCTCCTTGGCTATCCTTTGGTGGTTTTCTGTGGACAAACACACTTTGCAGCTCCATTTAAAAACCTGCTTTGCCCCATATTAGTTACTGTGGATGTCATCTTAATCTACATTGCCTCATAAACTAGAAGCCTGTGATCCTGCTACCCTGCCCCGCCCCCCGGCCGCTACAGCCAATGGCTCTTGTTCTGTGGATTCTTAAAGCTATCTCTCACATTCATCCATGTTCCTCTGTCCCCACTGACAATATCTTGGTTTGGACCAATCAGCATTAATGTGGATTTGTGCACTATTCCAAAGACCCTTCCATTTCCAGGTCTCTTCACATTGTCCCTGGTGGGATCTGTGTTTGAAATCTGTGGTGGAAAGGCATTCAGGACTGTTACTACTTAGCCTCCAATCCATCTCTCTCCAGCCTCTTTCCAAGCTCTACTATTTATCTCTTTATACAGGCCTCAAAACATGGAGGAATTCGAGAGGCATTTGGGCTTTGGGGGTAGACCAGGGTCCTATTTCTGACTCGTGGAGTGACTTTGGGCCAGTTATTTACTCTGTATTTCATGCAATGTTTGGGTTGCCTGGGATGGGATGGAGGTCCAGAGTGAACCAAACATGATGTCTCTGCTCCTACGTAGTGTATGGTCTAGTGGAATCACTAAGTACTTAGTGGTGGCGTGTTTCTCATAGGCAGACTGTGTCAGAGACTGTTAGTTGCTTATCAAATATCTATTCTCTCCATCTCAGATGGAAACATGTCCTGCTGTTTGCACAGTTTCCAAATTCCCTACTGCTTGAGGTGGTCAATGGGATGTAATTGAAAGTTATTGAGTGGGGCTTCTGGGAAAATTATTTAAAACAGGCTGACTCAGCAGGATAACACCCATTTGCCATTTTCTCCTTCCTTTTTCTCCCTGGCTAGAATACAGATATGATGGTTGGAGTTCCAGCAGCTATCTTGGGCAGTGAGGCAGCTTTGAGGATGGAAGCCTTTTGCTAAGGAAGGTGGAACACAAAGATAGAAGACAACCAGATTACTGATGATTATGAGGCCTCCATACCAGCCTTGGATTGCCTATCTTGGGACTTTTGTGGGAGTGAAAAATACAGTAAGCTTCTATCTCATTCAAGTTTTCTTGCATTGAGTTTCCTGTTTTGTGTAGCTGAACCTAAGCCTAACTTAATACAAAATGTGACTATATACAATCACCAATTAAATACTAGATTTGGAAACTCATGACTTTACAGGGTAATTGAATCACTTAACTATAATCTTGATAACCATCTCTTGTTCTATTATCATTTAAATAATCACAATGATGATGATGGTGTCTAATAATAAGGTAATAGTTATATAAATAAATCTTGCCTTAATGTAATTTATCTTAAATCAATTCTCAATCATCTCTAAATTGAGGACACAGTTACAATAATGTATCTCATCCCTGCTTCAAATTGGTCTTAGTTTTCTCTATGTAAATCTGATTTTTATATTTCTTTTAATTCCTGAATACAGCCCGGAAATGCCAACTATTTAACATACATGCCACCACTTCCCAATCCTGTGTTCATGCCAGACATTAATAATTGATGATGGCATTTTCTCTGTCTCAGCCTCTTTCTCATAAACCTTTTCAATAGAGTGCCAAGCATTTCCTACTATTTGATCAGAATTAGCAGCAGACATACATTTATTGTAAGCCACTTTTAATAATTTTTAAAATGTTGGGTGGGGTTGAGAATGATAAACTTTTTTTCTGAAAAGTGAAATATTTAGGAGTTTTCTTTGAGTAATAGAAACTAAATCAGCTCCCACTTCATTGAATGGACACTGATTTATGTCTTAGGTTTGAAGGAAAGGCAAATGGGGGCACAGTTGGCTTACAGGAGCTCTGATATCAGTATAGGTTCATAAGCTTTCTCTTGGGCACCCATTTGATTCAAAAAGCAATAAATGAGGATGAAGAGATATAGTGGGAAACATGATGTCCCTTCTCTCCATGGACAAATAATCTCATGAAAGATATAGGATAAATCCAAAACTTTAAATGTACAGATATGAACAATAATAGCTAATGGTTTGCAAACAATCTTTAGGGATGAGGAACTTACATTCTAAATGCTACCTCTGTCACAACCATTGAAATAATAATGGCTAACACCTCAGGAGATTTCTATATGTTGGGCCCCATATGCTATGACTTTTCTACAGGTAGTGGGGACTACATGGCTCATCCAGATTTCTCTTCCCCAGGACTGCCCTTTAGACATACTAAGGTGGATTTGCAGTGCCGTGTCCCCTACCTGACTGTTGGAGCCTCTTCCCATCCCGACCATGGTTGGTCAACTCAGTATATTGACCTGATCCATGCTGAGACAATGAAATTCTCGCTCCCTGGAATATGCATTGGGAATGAAGAGGCCATGGACTGTAACCATTGAAACTGAGCCACATATCCACGTGTTCCAGAAGGAAGGGGCACAACTGCTACTGCCTGGATCCTGGATTTGCTGGTTCCTGCTCTCAGAGATTTACCAAGCTTGAAATTATTAAGAACTATGGTGAGGTCTATATTTGACATAAACATTTTAATCTACTCTTTCTTCACTTCTGCCTTGAACACTGAGATACCCCAGTATTTTAATAAATACTCTACTTCTCTTTTTCTTTTTCTTCTTTCTTTCCATCCCTTCCTCCTCCTTCTCTTCTTCATTTTCTTCTTCCCTTTCCCCTCCCTTTTCTCTCTCTCTCTCTCTCTCTCTCTTTCTCTCTCTCTCTCCCTCTCTTGTCTCTCTCTCTCGTCTCTCTCTCTCTGTCCCCCTCTCTCTCATCTTTCTCTCCCTCTCCCTCTCTCTCTCTCATCTCTCTCTCTCATCTCTCTCTCTCTCTCGTCTCTCTCTCTCTGTCTCCCTCTCTCTCGTCTCTCTCTCTCCCTCTC